TTTTTTTGTTGAAAAAGTTTTGCGGGTGATGCACGTTCCGTGACTTCAACCTATTGCAAGAGGACAAAAACTGTTAAAAAAATTTATGTATATAAAAATTATTATGACGTACTTCTAAACGTTTCTAGTTTGATCTTTCAAATTGCAATTTAAGAGTGAAAATCATTAGCAAAAATTCATTAAATATGTTTATTATTATCTACACACAAGAATCCAGAAAACCTTTTCTAATAATGCACATTTAAAAAAAAATTTTCAGAGACTAAAAAAATAAATTTTGGTTTGGATACCAAAACACTAATTTTATGACCGTCACTAAAGGTCATAAGGCAGGTCAAAAAGTCTGGAAAAAAAAAATTATTTTAGAAAAGAGTTCCATCGATTTAAGTAGGTAAAAAAAAAAATTATGTTTTGAGAGTTTGCATTGACGTGGAATGTCCCATAGAATTATTAGTAAGACGATGATAGACTTTTTTCAAACTTTACTAATAAGGTGGTATATTATACTTTTTAAGTATCAAGTACTGCAGAAGTGCCATAAAGTAAGTTTAAAAAAGCAGACGAAGACTCGGTAACAGCAATATTATTTACTTTAGATTTGGATACTCGAATTGGCAAATACCGAAAAATAAGTATTTCTACCAATTTGCCTAATGTATTTTGATTAAATTCAGTCTCTTTATTCTTATATTCCACAGCTTTACTGACTAATATAGGCCGGAAGTTTGTTAAAACAATGATAACGGGATCTGTGAATCTCAAAATGCACAAGTTTATTTTCTACATTTCTCCTGGCTCAGCCTTTACGAAATGTCGTCTTATTGTTAAATTAGCTGTAAGCCAAGCTTTGCCTATGTATAATTGGGGTAGGCATGTTCTTAAAATTAAGTAGAGCTACAACATCAGTGTGACATCGGCTACAGATATTCTCTAATTTCACAGTAGATAGCACGCAGCATTGAGAGTTCTTAGTGTCTAAGATGATAGAGTGCTTGCTTCT